GTCCTCGTTATATATATATGTATATATGTGTATATAACATATACATATATATATATATGTATGTCTGTATGTAGATATTAAGATCCATAAGAAAAAAGTGAAAAGATGAATTGATTTTGTGATGAAGTAATATAGAAAAAGGTGAAGGGTTGAATTTGGAATTTAGTGCTTTTTCTCTTTGTGTTATTGGGAAATGATGTCATAATTGGAGTCCCTTTCAAACCGGCACTAAAGTAGTTACCTTCACTGGTTTGGCAGCCAACACGAACCACTGTATATATATATATATATATACACACACACACACACAAAAACACGCACATTATATATATATATATATATATATGTTATACACACACACACACATTATATATATATATATATATATAGAGTACTGCATGCCACGAGCACAACCATAAAACAAATAAAAATTCTATTAGTTTTAATATTATACTGAATAAGGCAAAAGTTGACACATATTAAAAGATATTTCAGTATGAAATTATATATAATTTTAAAATAAAAATAAGACTTTTTTATTCAAAAAAAATTAAATTATAATTTTTGCCAAGTTATCTAAATTAAAAAAATATCATAAGACGTTTTGTTTCGTATTAATATATCATATTAAATTAATTATTATTTATTCGTAATATATTTAGAATAATAAATTTTATATTTTTAAACTCGTAATTTTTAAATAAAGTATTATTAAATAATTATATTGATAGTAATAAAAATATAGTTAAAAAAAAATAAAAATCATTTTTCATCTATACATTTAAAAGATAGGATTATAAAATATTTGTTATCTACTATTTTATCAGAGTATATTTTGGATTTTTTTTTTTTTATCTTTGATACCATAACTAGGTACAACATGCATTTATAAATAGTAATGATACTAAGCTAAAGTGAAATTGATGAAGATTTGAAGCGAATCAAAGAGGCAACTCAAAGAGAAAAGAGAGAAAATTTGTACGAGGGTTTGGAAAAATCGAAGGAATTGATTCGTGTTCATTAAATAAGGGTATTTATACAAAGAAAGAACGAGTAATTACAAAACAATCTCGTAACTTCAATAAAATAATACAAAAATCTTTATATTTACATCAAATTGTAAAGAAATTAATCCGTTATACTATAATAATTATTCTCTCTTCTAGTTTTCATTCTGCTATTTCCCCTGCATATGATGAACTACAACATAATACTTATGTAACATAAGGGGATATTCTTATTGAACCCAATTTGACATTTAGAAGACAAATTATGCATGTAAAACAACCAGCTCATCTCTGAGAATATCATGAGTATAGTCTTAACTCCATAATTAATACCAAGACATCATCTCCGTGCATATCACATGTTATGTCTTATAACCATATTCCTGACAAATAATAAAACTTTATATTTGCCTTAGCTCAAAACTAAGGACCAAAAACTTACAACCAAGTCATTGTTTTCCCTTATAGGAGAGAAACAATGTTAGTTAAGATTAATGCACCGGAAGAAAAACAAACTTGGGATTTAGTCACCTTATCTCCTAATAAATAACCTATTGAGTGTAAATAGTCTAAAAAATTAACAGAACACCTAATGGATCTATTGAAAAGTATAAAGCACGGTTGGTGGCAAAGGGTTATACTCAACAATCAAGTATAAATTATTTGGATTACTTTTATCCTGTTACTAAAGTCACTATTATTCAAACTCTATTAATTGTTATTGCAGTTAAAAAGACAAATGTTTCATCAACTAGATATTAATAATGTTTTCTTTTATGGTGATTTATTTAATAAAGTTTATACGACTATTCCATTTAACTTTAGAGTAATTGAAAATAACCAAGTATATAAGTTTAAGAAGAGTTTATAGGGGTTTAAAAAATAAGTACATTGACATTTGAAATTGATTGATTCTTTAAAGAAATAAGGTTTTAAGCAAACACATTCTTGTTTTTTTTTTGTTTATCAAATATGTTGGTTCCTCTTTCACAGCTCTTTTATCTATGTGGATGATGTGATATTGACTAGCAATAACATAAAAAAAATTCAGTATATTGAAGTTTTTTACACGTAAAATTAAAATAAAAGACTTTGAAAAACTAAAATTCTTATTAAATCTTGAAATTGCAAAGTCTAATGAAGGTATTAATATTTGTCAATGCAAATATACCTCAATGTTGCTTCGAAATAGTGGATTTTTATATTATAAACTCACATCAACACCCATGGTCTCTTTTGTCAAGTTAGTTAAAGAAGATGATTCCCCTAGAGTTGATTTTACTACTGATAGATAGCTTGTGGATAAGATTTTGTATTTTACGAGTAACTGACCTAATATCTACTTTACTTTTTAATAATTTTCTTAATCTCTAGAGGCTCATACCTAGTTGCATTTACAATTTGTTTGTAGAATTTTGAGATATTTGAAAGGCACATCTGATCAAGGTTTGTTTTACTCTACTCAAAATTTTTTGTACTTAAAATCTTTTC